TGGGGAGGCGGTTATTGTTTGGAAAGGGAGTCCCCCCCGCCCACAGGAAGCCACGACCATGTGTCACAGCAGGGAAAATGGGCACGGGTCGTGTTCGTCACCCAGTGCGGAGTTCGCGGAGGCAAAATTTTGTGAATGGTGCTGTTCGTGAACCGAATTGTTCGTGAACAGAAGCGTTCGTGAACCAAGGTATTACTGTATAGGGCATTTAGCCTTATATTTCATAAGTCTAGCAAAAAAGATGCAACATTCTGTTATGAATGAATTGCAGATCCCTGTTCTTAATGTTATATTCTGATTCAATTATAGATTCTTGTTCTAAAGTAGAACATCAACTTTGGGCTTGATAAGAGAAGCATTTAATATTTTTCCATTTTCTTCTGGTAAATTTTGCATTTTTTTCTGGAAAAAAGGGAGACTCCCCACCCCGGAACTGCCCAAAACTGTTACATCACTTACCATGGAATATTAACTGGTGACTTTGATAATGGATATAGAGGTTAAAAGTCAAATTCTACTTTTGAAAATATCAGAGAGACACAATTAAAATGCAGATAAAATAGCATTTATCTCAGAAATCATTTCCATTTCATGGGTAGTATTTTCTTGGTATCCACAGCACCCAGATTCATCCACTGGAAACTGACACACATCCCATCTGCCTCTAGGACAAGGATGTACAATTACAGTAATGTCAGCTAACAAGCAATCCTGGATTCTGGGTGGCTTGTGTAATGGTATGTGGGAATGACCTTGGGAAGCAGAAGGAAAAGCCGCAACAAGGAGAATGGTTAGATAGATAAGAGGCAGCTGAGTCTGCAGCAGGAATATGGGTATGGCAAACATTTCAGAAGGGACCCTCCCTAGCTTTTGGGCTGTAAAAATGAGGGGGGAGAAATGTACTTTCAGATTCTGTTAATGTAAGCCTTATAGTAAAGTAGAATTAGTTCATCTGGGTGTGCTTCTTGTCTGGACTACCTCACAAGGCTGACAGCATGTCAAGGAATCCATAACGAAAGGGAGAAGGGCCAGAGCCCTTTGAGAGGCGGTAGCTTCAAGAGTTTTAAGGGATAAAATGGGTGTTATTTGCAAGGCATTAACATCCATTTTGCCCCTTAAATCCCTCCAACAACCCCCAAATGCAAATAGGACCCAAACTTTTGGCCCCACCCAATTATGAGGGGGCAAGACCATAAAGGATTGCTGATGAGCTGCATGATCCCACAAGCCTTAATCAGAACAGGTGATGAGAAACATGCTCTTAAGTCCTACCCATCTCCCATACATGTATAAATTGACTTCATGGAACTTCAGCTAGAACTCCTAATGCCAACAGGAAAAACAGCATTGGGAATGGAGGAGGTCAGATTGGTCAAAGCAAAATTAAGAGCCTTTAATTTATAAATTAAATCAAGGTGTGATAGATTACATACCCCTGCAGCAAAGCCTAGACTCCCATCCAAGATTCGTCTCTGCAAATGTAAGATTACAGGTGGTCAGAAGAGGCACCATATAGCATCATACTAATTTCACATTTGATGTTGAATCATGATTTATTTGAATAAATGTTAATTTGCTGGGTTTATGCATTATGCTAAGCCATAAAACTTAGCTTACAGACTTGGAAACAGCATCTAAATTAATTGAAAAGATAGAAGAATATGGAAAAGTAGCAGG